GCCCTTCTCACATATATATATATATACATATTTATATATATATATATGTATGTATATGTACATAATTATATGTCAAAACACGGACGATGGACACACAGATATTAATGCGTATGCTGCATCGGCTTGAGAGCCCTGACGGCCGGCCTTATCTTTGCCCCAGCTGCCTTTCATGCCACCTTTGAGCCCTCCAAAGAATCCACCTAGCGAGCATCAAAACATCGGGCTTAAGGGTTTAGGCTTTAGAGCTTGGTTGAATTTCGCCGAGCTTGGCAAAGAAGGCAGTCCTTTGCACTTGATATGTGAAGCATCGAAAGTGACTGCACAATGCCTTACTATGACTACTCGTGTCTACCCACAGACGCGGCACAAACTGAAGCAGCAAGTCCACAACGTCAAGTCACCTATGCTGACACTGACAAACAAGGCTCTAAAAGCTCGAAAACCGCTGGACCCTGAACCATAGCACCTTTGGAGCCGCCCCACTTGCCTCCTGCAGAGCCGGACTCAATCTTGAGGCTGCATGGCCACAGGGTTTGAAGTTTACGTTCCAAATTAACCAGGACGTAGCAGCGACCATAGCTGCACTAATACGGCAGTTCATTATCTTCATTATCTTCATCATCAGCAGCATCAGCAACGTAGTACTGGAACCAGATGACTGTTCAGGAAAGTAGCCGACGGCTTGCTACATGACATCAAGCCTGCCCTCTGGATTACTGACCGTCTACTCATCCCCTGCATTCCTCCCACGCCGCGATATCCCTACTCGCCAGCATCTGAATTTCCCAGTAGCACAAGCTTCACACGCTCCCCCATCCGATCTCACGTGCACTAACTTCCAATGGTTTACAAGTGGAAAACCCCTGAAAACGACGCAGCAATCACAGCAAAGCAAGCCGAATGGCCAACTTGCGTTGAACTACAAAGCCCAGAACAGGTTATAAGTCTAGAACCCAAAAGGGCGTAAGCCAAAAATCTAAAACCTACAGCCTGTAGTGCAAAACGAGCTTCAGCCAAGTGGCCCCAGCCCTTGCCCCAGTTGCCCCCCCAGGAGCTGCCACCGCCCCAGCCTCCCAGGGCTTGAGTCTTCATGAAAGTTTTTGGTTTAGGGGTTCAGGGGTTTAGGGGTTTAGGGGTTTAGGGTTCAGGGGTTTAGGGGTTTTGGGGTTTAGGGTTTAGGGGTTTAGGGGTTTAGGGTTTGTTGGAGGACGGGCTGCAATTCACCGAGAAAGTCCTTGACTCCGAGGGCTTGCCTCGAGGAGGGGCTGAGGCCTTCATAATGACGAAGAAAGATACCAGTAACAATGATGATAGCAACAGTAATGGAGCTACTAATGATAAGAGGTCAACGTCCGGGGCTTGACCTTGACGTGGCTGCAGATCAGGCCTCCTCCCACTTCAGGCATCCACGCTAAGTCAACTTTACCACGGGGACAGACCCACACCGCGGGTGCGCCGGCTCCTATGCAACCTTGCGCCCTGCACCGCCTTTGCCCTCGGGCTTCATCTGATGCTGCTGAACGCCCTCCATGCTGGCCGCCCTTGTGGAGGGCCCTCCTGAGTTCCAAAGCGACATAAGCATCCGCAGGATTCGTCTGCTGTAAGACTGCTGTGTGCTTGCAGGATCATGACACACTGCCAGCACTCTCGCCGTCGATACTTCACTCGACACGCTTCTTGCTTTGCTGCGTGCGTGCCTCGGATTCTTGCCATCACAAACTCTGCAAGTGACTCTACTGCTCGTGCTGATGCAAGAAGAGAGTAAGGTGAAAATGAAAAATATGATGCTGATTGATGACGAAGACTCTAAAAGTCATCCAGCAGATGGTGTGAAGTGAATGACGATGATGATCATGATGATCATGATGATGATCATGACGATGATGATGATGATGCTGCTGCTTTTGATGCTGGTGATGATGATGATGATGGTATAATGATGGCGGCGATGATGATGTTGTTGATGTTTAACGTTGACGTTGGCGAAGAGGATGGTGATGATGATATGATGGCGATGATGACGATGATGGTGATTGTGATGATGAAGTTGATGATGATGATGATGATGATGATGATGATGATGACGACCAGGACGATGATAATGGTGATGGTGGAGATGATGATGATGATGATGATGATGATGGTGGCGATGATGACGAT